GGGGGGGGGAGAGAGAGAGAAAGGATAATCGAAGGAGCGAATGAGTCAACAAGAGCATACACAGGGAGGGGGGCAGCGGCCAACCGAAAGCAGGCGAAGAACCGTCATGTGGCATCCACCCGTCAGCTGATGATCTCGTAAACCTGCCGAGAACTACTGGATGATTAGCGTGGCCTCTTCGGGTTAGAAAGCGAAACATACCCCCCAAAAAATAAATATGACGTCCTCCGATCCAAACTAGAATGATAATCTAATTCCGGCACCGATAACAACATCCAAAACTCAAGGTCCCAACAGCGTTTTGGCCTCCCTCCGAGATGCGGTGGCATCGAAATCGCCACGCCATCAAGGATCGTGCAATAACTGTTCAAGAAAAACATCAAAATAGAGTTTCCCTCTCCCCTGTCCCACATGACAAGGCTCAACACACCGACTAACCTCCCACCCCCTTCCTCCTCCCAAGGCATGCAAAACTTGAGCTAACCCCCTCCCCCCCCCCCCCCAGGAACCACTGGCCATCGGTGATCGGTCCTGTGGGAACAATGCTCCGCCCTCTCGAGGACGCGTGGCCAATGGTCTAACCGCTAAGGCATGCAAAACATAAGAGTACCACCCCCCCCCCCCAGGATATCGACAAATCCAGCCTGTGAGCGTACTACATGTACGTTAGGGGTCTGCATTACCGGCTCGTAGGCGATGACGATGCTCTCCATCTGTTCAGCCGTCACTCCCGTCAGGCCCTTCCCAATGTGCACGGCGCAGATCTGGATTTTTTATCGTTCGGTACACGAGGGAAAAAACGAAAAACCAGGGGTGACGGGAGCCCGGAATCCAAGGTTAAGACGAGCGAGCCAGAGCGAAAACGGCTTTGGTTCGGTCGAAACGGAACAATCTCGTCGACTCTGACGGACATGCAGCAGCAGGCGGCATACAAACACGAGCGCCATGAACATCGCCACGCAAACAATACGGCCACCTTACTTCTTTCTCCTCACACACACCCTCCAGGCACATGTCCACCCTTTCTCGATGACCCCCCCCCCCCCCCCACACACACACACGTGTTGCCTCCTCCATCGAAACAGACTCTTCCTTCAGACCTTCCTGATAAAACGTGGGTTGGGTGTGTGTTTGTCCCGTTTCCAATCCACACACATCTTTCCGTGTCACACGTTTTGACATATATTCATACCACGGCGACAGCCCAACAAAAAACACCAACCGCTGCCATCGACCGGCGTAAACACCCCTCCTTCTTTCAACATCCAAGGCACTCGGCGCACCTCCTTGTTGAGGCCAGCCTCGTACTCCTCCTTGCTCTCGCCGATACAGAGGATGGCCTTAAGCCCCTGGTCGAGGACCTTGTGCACCTGTTCTCGAGAGAGAGCCGACGGTGTCGTTCCGTTCCATGCGGTTCGTGCGTGATGAGGTAGCGGGGACGCGGAGGAAGGGATGAGCTCCGTTGCTTTTTTATGCTGGAACAGTCTTTAATCTCTCTCTTTCTCTCTCTCTCTCTCTCTCTCTCTCTCTCTCTCTCTCTTCAAACACAAATACCGAAAGAGGCTGGACGCAACCACCTACTCGAAACACAAGAAGGCGGCTTTGCAGACGGATTGGGCACCGCAGAGGTGCGATGAAGATTTGTCACACCATCTGCAGCAGCAGCCGCAGCCGCAGCAGCAGCGGGAGCGGAAGGAATGCCATACAACCTGAGACTGCAGACTGTTAGTCATCTCGTAGCATTCCCCCAAACAACCTGAGTCTGACGTCCGCTCATTGGTCAGCCAGCCGGCTAGTGCGGTCGATCAACACACACCAACACACAAGACCATGGCCTTGAGAAGACCATGACTTTGAGATGCACTTTCTGTTTTCACCGCACCGAGACTGGCGTCATTTCATTCGTCAGTCTCGGATATTGTAGCGCGGTCGATGCCAACAACAAAGACGCTAATTAGGATAACATACCCACACAACACAAAAAAAACACCTTCTTGTTGACCATCTCGTCGCTGTCCCCGAACACCGATCGGCGCTCCGAGTGGCCGCACAGAATGTACTCGCACCCGACGGACGCGAGCATACCCGTGGAGGACGCCCCCGTGAACGCGCCCGCGTCCTCGGTGTAGAGGTCCTGGGACCCCACCGCGACCTTGTTGCCGTCCACGCCGTCCACCTGTCACGTTGTCGCGGAGTAGAGAATACACCGCAACCGCACACAGAAAAAAAAATGAGCGCCCCGTTGTTCTGTTCTTCCAGGAATATTCGGCGGGTATCACCAAAACGACAAAATGATTATCAGCGCGCGATTGCTCTCCTGCTTCTTGGCCTTCCGGAACTCTCGGCAGGCGTTACAACAAAATATCAGCGCGCTTTTGTTCTGTTTTTTTTCGCCGTCCAAGAACTCCGGTATAATCCCTGGGCACAAAACAGTAACTATTAATCCCGTCGCCAATCGCGAAAGATTAGAAACGCCCTACTACCACCACTCTAGAAAAATGCATGTTCTCGCGGGTACGCTATCGTTCGTTTCCTCTTAAACATGCTACGAACAAAGCACCCTTTCCCACCCCCGCCTCCTTCATATGCTCTGCTTCGTAGACGCGTAATGCTGTCCCACGCCCCGCCAAACCGACCTGCTACGTACGACGTATCTCCGTGCCATATTACTTCGTGGGACAGCAGCATATCCATCCCTATGTAAGCAGGCTTCCGTCTTCGGTTCGGCCTGACAGAAAAATGTAGACATGCACCCTTCGTTTCTCCCCCCCCTGCCCCGTCGTTTTCGCTTCCCCGTCCCTGTTCACCGCCGTCTGTATGAACGCTGATGCTGCCGCCCCCCCTCCCGAAAAGGATAGAGAGGCGCCAACCGCCGTCGTGTACCCGGTGATGGAAGGATCCCTTAACAAAAACAACAAAAAATTAACTACAGAAACATGGCAGACCCGCCGACCGCTCCAAAAGAACAAAATAACAAGCTTCCTATCGTTTTCGCCCTCCCTTTTGCCCCCTTCCGCCTGCCAAGGATACCAAGCAGGCATCCCAATTCTCCATCCCACCCCATTCTGACACCGGTTGATGTACGTCAAACACATGCGCACCACCGGAAGGTGTGTGCTTTGACTTGGGCCACAATATATGGGACAAGCACACCCACCTAATAATAGTAACACACCAACACTCCTTTCCGACAGCAACACCGGTTTGCGAGCGGCCTTGCTTGCGCGGTCGCGCGCGTATGTGCACGTGCTTGCTTACCTGGTCCTTCACGGGCACGAGGAACGGGTGTGGCGGGATGACGGCCACCTCCACCTCCACAGAGGTAGTCGCCTCCGACACCTGCAAAGATATATAGAAAAAAAAAAAGCAACGAAAGTTACTTATCTTTCATGCACTGTATGTATGCATAGCGTGGCCTCCATTTCTTTTGACGTTGTTAGCTTCATCGAAGAGAGAACAGCACCCTCAAAAGCAGTGTTCGACAAGCGCAGGAGGTACATAGGCAAGTATGGCTACGCAAGAGAGCAGCAATATCCCACCCCCACCAGCTGTGGAGGCGGTACATACGGTACACATAGGAACTGGTACCCCCAGGCCTTACCGATCGGGAGTGTTTTGTGTGCATTGCATCGTTAAGTTGGCCGACAGCAGAGAATGAGAGGGGTGCAAGTGATACAAATAAGCGCGCCTGCTACGCCCATCATGTGGTGCACCCCAGCCCACTCCTCCCCCGCGCCCGCCTTTGCTGTCAAACGCCAACCGCCGTATACTATGTAGCGCTATCAATTTCGGCTGCATGAAGCTCCGCATGGATGGTGGTGTCTATGCACACGAAAGGGCCGTGTTGCACCACTCCCATTAGACACTACTTGTAACAGCCAAACCGACCGAAGAAACAAGCCATCACAACCTGAGGACCGAACGGTGGTGGGTGCTCGGCGGTACTACAACAGTACTGCTACGCTACTGTCGCCTTGCTGCCGTCAATCTGCTGCGGTACCAGCGCTGTCAAGTCGGAACGGGCTGGGACCCTGCTGTGCACCTCAGCTGGTACCCTAAAATAGATAGGGGAGGAGGTGGCCCGCAAAACAAGAGACTGCAGCTAGCTAGCTTTGCGGATGTCTTGCTAGCACGTAACATATCCTCTTCAGAGAGTGCAGAGAGAGGTATGGTTTGAGAAAAAAATCACCCCGCCACCCCCCACCGCCCGTTCATTTTACTGAACCGCCCTCCGTCTCTCTTCAATAATATTAATAGTAGATTGGATTGCGCGATGAAGGGCGCACGCGTTTTGTCAGGCATGCACTCAAACTCAAGCCATATCTTGTACTAGTCGCGCCGTACGCCCGGCGTGCCAGGAACGCTCACTCCTCGGTGCCAGACATGTCGACAACAGCTTCCTTCCAGCGGTCACATACATGCCAGTCGGGCAACACCAAAACACAACAACGCCATGCGTTTTCCGTTCGACGTTCGCCCCCCCGAAGCCGCATTGTCATGTTTCCCGATGTGTGCGCAACGCGCAAAACACAGGGCAGCAGCTATAAGCGATGTCCCTCGTGCAACTCACGCCACGGGATGGGAAGGGGTATACACCACTTCGCCGGTATTCCGCGGCCCCACACAGCAGCCTGGAAACCACCACCAGCAGAGCCACACTCAAATGCGTGAGCGCGGTGCCGGTGTGGTAGGAAGGCTGGCGATCATCATGACGAGGCCACATGCATACGTGTGGAGAAAGGGAATGCCATCCTATCCCACGCACACACACAAATCCTGCACAGACAGGGGCGGGGCGTGCAGCAGCAGACGGGGGGGGGGGGGGGGGAGCAAAAATTTGGAACGACCGCTCTCACCCACTTGGGGAGGGCCTTTCCCCTTTCCCCGTCCAAAGGGTTTATTTTCCCATTGCCCGGAAAAAAAGGCACCCCGGCCCTCTTTTGGAAAAAAAAAAAAAAACTGCCCCCAAGAACCCGGGGGGT